TTTATTTTTAGTTTTTGATGGCTTTTCTTTTTTGGTAGAGGGAGGTAATTAGGCTTATTTATTTATTTTTAGAGGAGGTACTGGGGATTGAACCCAGGACCTCAGGCATACTAAGCATGCGCTCTACCACTTAAGCTGTACCTTCCACTCTTTATTTTTAGTTTTTTGAGGAACCTCCATACTGTCCTCCATAGTGGCTGCACCAGTTTACATTTCCACCAACAGTGTAGGAGGGTTCCTATTTCCCCACACCCTCTCCACTGTTTATCATTTGTGGACTTTTTAATGATGACCATTCTGACTGGTATGAGATGAGACCTCATTGTAGTTTTGATTTGTATTTCTACAACAATTAATGATGTTGAGCATCTTTTCATGTGCCTGTTGGTCATCTGGATGTCTTTGGAGAGATGTCTGTTTAGATTTTCTGCCCATTTTTTGATTGGGTTGATTAGCCTTAGTAAAAGAAATAATCTATAATGAATTTAAAAAAAAGGTAATGGTAAGAATAGAAATATTTCAAATGATTTAAATGGCTTGAACCTTTTATTTTTAATGTTTTATAGGTTCAGCACATCAATTACTTGGTACCAGGATGGCATAAATCAGAATGTAGTTAACTAGCTAACTAGTACAGTGCATGTGACTACCTTCCAGAATCTACAGTGCCAAATAATTCAGCTAATTATTATACCTGTAGAACTTTTATTTAAATTCATGTATTTTTGTCACTTTCTTTTTATTAGTGTTTTAATTTTATCTGACAAATATAATCAAGGTTGGCCATTGAGAAAAATAAGTTATTTTAAGTGTAATTCCCTGGTAGCTCGGGAGTAACATTATTTTTCAAAAAAATTTTATTGAGGTACAATTGACATATGACATTATGTGAGTTTAGGAGTACAACATAATGATTTGACACCTACACATTGCAGAATGACCACCGTCACAAATCCAGTCAACATCTGTTATCATATACAGTCACAAAGTTTTCTTTTTTCTTGTGGTATGAACCTTGAAGATTAACTCCTAGCAGCTTCTGGATATGCAATACAGTATTATTAACTATAGCTGCCATGCTGTACATTACATCTTCATGACTTATTTATTTTAGAACTGGGAGTTTGTACCTTTGGCCCCTTTCACCCATATTCCCCACTCCCCCAGCCCGGTACCTCTGCCAGCCACCAGTCTGTTCTGTATATCTATGAACTTGATTTTTTGTTTTGTTTTGTTTTGTTTTTAGAGTCCACATGTAAGTGAGGTATGGTATTTGCCTTTCTCTGTCTGACTTATTTGGAGTGACATTATTTTTAAAGAAAATAAAGTCTAGGGAGTTGCTTCAGTTGCTCAGGGAAGATTTATACTTTTAGAATAAAAATAATCTTTTTAACCACACTGGTGAAAAAAGTAGATTTTTGTTTTAAAATGGACTTCTTATGTAATTAAAAGGATGAAATAAGTATCAAATGCCTTTTCTACTGGAATCTGGCATTCCTAATAAGCTGAAGTCTAGTTACCACCTTTTAGTAGAAACCGTTCATTCATTCAACAAATATTTGTTTAATGCTGAGAAGTCAGTGTTTAAGATAGATGAAATCCTTACTCTCCCAGAATTTACATTGTATTGAGGAAATAGACAATAAGTAAATTAAAAACACATACACAGGCAAATGTGGTTGTGATGAGGGCTAAGGGGGGCCACATCAGGTGAGAGTGATTGTAAATGCCTCTGAGGAGATGACATTTGCTTTGAGACTTGTCTGATAAGGGATCAGTTCTGCAAAGATATGTGGGAAACAAACTTTCCATGTAGAGGAACCTGCAAGTGCAAGACTCAAGGCCAGGAGTACGCTTGCCATGTTAGGGATGCAAAAATGACAGCCTGCACCAAGCAGGGAGTCACTAGGGGAGGCAGGTACCAGATCATACAAGGCCATGATAAGGAGCTTTAATTGTATTCTCAGTCATGAGAAACAGTTGGAAGAATTTATGTAGAATGGTTATATAATCTTTGTGTTTTAAATATGTTAAAAAGATTACTTTGGTATATAGAGATACATTGAATAATGAAGAAAATGGAAGGGATAGAGGAAGATCAGTTAGACTCTTAAAATAAATCAGGCAACTGATGATGTTAGTTTAGCCTATACAATTGTAGGAGCAGGAATGGAGGGAAATGAATGGATTTGGAAATGATAGTTTAGAGTAGAAATGAAAAGGTACATTAGGGTGAAAGAAAAAAACTGATGATTTAGGTTTTGGTTTGAATAACTGAATGTCTATATGGAGGTTGTGAAGCTCTGAAGGAAACAGACTTTTTGAGATGAAGGCAGTAGGAATTGGTTCTGTCTTAGTCGTATGTGAGTTGAGGTGGTGCCTTTTAGCTATATGGAATGTCAAGCTAATTAAGTAAACTTAAATTGCTGCACATTTTGAAATGAAAAATTGATTAATTAAAAACAACAACCTGGATGGTTTGTCCTGGAATTTGGCAGATAAAGTTGATTTATAGTTGTATATTTTTCTGTTTTTCATTTTAAGTCTTAAGAAAGTCTCATTGATAATCATGAATCATACCAAGAAAGATGTAGCCTGTGAATCTGGATATGGCTTTACTTGCTAGTAAAAGTTACATTCTTCAAAGAGTATGAAAAATTATACTTTATGTTATAATAGTTATATAACGATTGATTGATCCTATTTCTTCTAAAATAGTTATTTCCTAAGTAAAATTAAGGTTAAGTTTTTTAGAAATCAGTCTTTATATTAGCTAGATGTTTATCCTTGTAAATTAGTTATTTGAGTAAGGGATTCAATTACTTTAATGCATAAACAAAGGATTCTTCTGTCAAAATAAGATAGAACTTATTTTGGAGACAGTTACTATTAGATGGTAAGTTAAAATGGCTACTTTGATCCTTTGAAGGATCAGGAATGGCCATAAACCTTAGATTAGAGATTCTTAATCTAGGACCCACCAGAGGATTTTGGTTAGGGGGTGGGTCCCTGGACTCCTGAAATTGTTATTAAAAAAAAGTACCAGCGCTTTTCTGGGGAGAGAGTCAATGGCTTTCATCAGACATGACTCAAAAGAGTGTAAAAACCATGGCCCTAGATAATAGTTACATAGAATAAATTGAAATCTTAAGTAATAACAGTAGAGGGGAAAAATGATTTAGGATACTGAGATTTTAAGAAAAATGATTTATGCAGTAATCTTTCTTCAGGGTAGCATCTCCTTTGTGAATTAAAAAAAAGTATTTTACCCCCCCTGCGCATGTTTTTGTTTATACAGATAAATTTAGATGAACTGAGTTTGGGGAGAACAGTTAATGTATAGCTTATACAAAATATGAAATTGCTGATCTTTGTTAATTAATATATTGAACGACTCTTACATGGTTTCTTGAAAAGAGGTAAGAAACTGTTATCAGAAAATAGTTTTCATTACCTCTTAAGTACCTGACCTAAACGGTCTCCAAGGAAGAATTTTCCTTAGTTTTAATAATGAAATTCTGCTTTACATAGCGAAAGGTGATCTTCCACCCTCCACCTTCCGTAATGTTTATCTCATCAAAACCCTTGAAGAGTTTCTTTTATTGCCAGTTAGTTACACAGTCTCTAAATACTCCATGATTCTTGTTGTTATTATTGTTGTTATTACCACTTACTATTTTGGTGACACATGGAGTGATCAGATATAGACCTGATTTGGAACCCTGGTTTTAGTATAATTCTTTAAATTAATTGCTTGTTTATTTTACCAGCTGAATAAAAGAACTATGCAAAAGTAGTCAGATGACTAGAGGAGTAGTTCAAAGATTTCTTAAAGCTCCCTCCATCTTTTTATCTAGGCAATCCTTAGGTGTCACATGGCCCTCTAGTGGAAGGGATGCTCAGCTGGACCGAGGCAACTGCAGGATATTCTCTGGGAGTTGTTACCCAAGGGATTGCTTTTATTCAGGTAATCTTTATAGTTTGGATTAATTAGCTGGTTCTGACAACCTAGGTGATAGAATTGTGGACTAGGTAGGAGATGTTTTAAAGCAAATATCCCTATTTGTGGGAAACTCACCTTGATTAGCCCATTTCTTATCTAATACTGTTGATCTTTTTATTAAAGGATTGGTTAGGCTTTTTGTTTTTATTGTTGTGTTGTTATTGTTGTTGCCCTTGATGGTAGTGGTGTGTTTATTTTTTTGTTTGGTTCTTTTTATTTTTCAGTGTTTTTTTGTAATTAAATAAACTGTACTTCATACTTGATAAGTAATTATTCCTCATAAGTAAGGCACCCAAGGCTCATTTCTTAATTTTCATCTTGTTTTTAAAAATAAAATTTCAGTATTTTTTCTTTAAGTCTTGAATTTTGGCAATTTTCAGTCTTGAATTTTGGCAATTTTCATTTCACTTTTCTATTTAAAGAGGTAGATAAATAGTGGACAATATTAAACAGAATAGAAATGTGGGTATCTGACTAACTTGCAAAAGGAGAAATAGGATTTTAAATTAATAAAGGAATAAAGAAGCATAGATCTAGAATTGGGGGTGCTTAATTCTTGTTGCTTATTTCCTTCAAAGCATTTTAGTTCTATTCTACTCCTTGCATTCTTTTTTTTTTTTTGAGATTGAAGGGAGCTACAAATCTGTAATATGAGTTTAACTATTTGTTGTTACTGCTCTTGTTCTCTCTGGAGATTTCTAGATGATTGAATGAATTTCACATGATCAAGAATGCCAGTAAAGCAGTAGTAGAAGAGGAGGTTGCCCATTCTTTTTCTTCCATGTTCTCCCCTTCAGACTTCTGTCATTACTGAAATTAAGCTGAGAGACTCCTAACAGTTTACTATTATAGCAGGATGGTTTGTAGCAATAATTATTACTAATGAAACTCTTAAAGAATATGAAATAACTTATAAAGTGAGTGATAGCCTCTGATCCAGCAGGTGCCAAAAAACCTACTTTTTGATTTACTTTCTAATATAAGTGCAAGCAAAAACAAAAATTATAGAATAATATGAGTAAATACATTTTCTGATTGTACCTTGAATGGGAAAGCATAATAAGTAATACATTGTTTAGAGTCTTTTAGTAATTTGTAAAGTCAAAAGTAAATTTGACTTTGCCAAATGAAAAACAGTGTTAATGAATTAATACTGCAGTCAGTTTATTTTTATGGAAGTGCTTTAAACGTGGGTAACAAATATTCTGTTTTCTCTTTCATTTTTTAAAATGTGAATTTCTCCTGCTTATATTATCAGGGCGAATCAGCACTTGATTTGGCAAAGCAGAGAAAAAACGTGTGGATGATCAACCATTTGCAAGAAGCAAGGCAAGCAAAAGGATATGACAATCCATCTTTCCTTAGAAAGCTCAAAGCTGATAAGGTAAATTCATGACTGAAGATTTTCAATATGTAGTCTTTTTAAGTAAAATCCATAGGCATACTTTCTTTTTTAAGTATCCTTCCTTCCTCCTTCCCTCCCTCCCTCTGGATTGAACCCAGGACCTCGTGCCTGCTAATCCTGAGCTCTGCCATTGAGCTGTTACCTTCCCCACCATAGGCATACTTTCTCAGCATGAGTATTTACAGCCTTTAACATTGGCATTGACCAGTGTAATCTTTAAAATAATATTTCACCCAGAGTAAATGAAGATAGATAGCAAAGTTTAAGGATGGATATTTGTGAACTTGTTTAAATCTCTGTAAACTACTAACATAAACTTTAATTCATTAATTCAACTGGCCTCTGTTAAGTAATAGATAATAAAAGTTTTTCCTGTGTGTGTTTGTTAGTGTAGTAATAAATTGTGAAAAATCTTAGCCCTATTACATATTTTTAAACTACTCACAACTCTAGCTATAATTAAGTTTCCATTCTTTTTTGATATAACTTTTATTAGAGAGAGAATCTTACTCACTTCTCTATAGAAAGCTCATTTTAGATCTTCCATAGAACCTTCAGTTCTAAACTGTATGACTGTTGGCTTAGTTGCCTAATTGTATAATTTCAAAACTAAGAACATTTTCCAAAAAGAGGGGGTCTATATTTCTTAAAATTTTATTTCCTTAAAAAAGGAAAAATTAGGTGACTGACAATTTTTTTGTGTGCTTAAACAATTGACAAGATATTTGCTAACTTGTCAATAATCAACAACGTGAATAACATTAAGCCTTGTATATCTTATGTGTCTTATTCAGACTGTTCTAGTGGTAATACTGTTTGTATAAAGTTAACATTGATCTGTCTGTTCCCAGAACAAAATGATAAATTTTGGATAAAGGGAAACAGACTTGAAAGCACACCTCATTTATTTGTAGAGTTCAGACTCCCTTAATGAGCTGAAAAATTCATTCGTCTATTTCTTAGACAGCAGAAGAATCAGATTTATAGTTTATAAACTTGCCTATTTTCAGCTCCATATCTGAGAATAAGGAGCATTTCTTCCATGTCAACACTTTCATTTCTATTAGATACGATATTAAAAGTGGTTATTTAGTTAGTTTGATGTTGCTTTGTCCTCTCAAATTTAGAGCAGTTTTGCTCAGTAGAGTAAAAAATGGCTCATGTCTCATAATAATGAGGCTACTAATAACTGTGTCTTATATTAGTTTGGAAAGTCTCATAATCTTTATGCTTTTGTTTTGCATAGTATAAATATGCTGAAGGGTATTTTTAAATATATTTACTTTGTAAATTCTAGATGTTTATAAATGTATAAAGTTATTTAGTATAGTGATAATGAACTGGATATTAGGTTTATGAGTTTGGATATGGTTTCTTTTTTAAAAGAGAACCTCATTAAAAAGTTAAGCACAATTTTATTAACATTTGTATATTATTGTAATCAGTTCAAAAGTTTGAATATTCCTGATTTTTTTGGTTTTGTTTTTTGCTGTTAGTAATTTTTGCATTTTAAAAAGGTCACTAGATAAAAATATATGATATCTGGAGGCTTTTGAAATTAAGTATTTGTCTTTTTGTAGACTATTCTCTTTCCATCTCACATTAGAAAAATTTAAATCATGAACATGACTTGATTTGCTAGTCTGTGAAATATGTTCTGTATTTAAAACAAAACAAGAAAATAATGATGCCTGGGACTCAATAGCATTTTACTAAAAATAAGTCATCCCAAAAGGAAGAAAATTATTTTTGGACAGTGATAATAGGCAGAAATTGAGGGGATCTTGATCTTAGAAAACTATTTTAAAAGGCTTTTCAGTTTCTAAGGTTAAAAGATTTTAGGTGGATTTATGGTTACATAAGTGTTTCTTACTAGTAAGTTAAAAGGAAATCTCTAAATTAGTATTTCCCAACATTAAAAAACCTACAGTCCCTTTTGTTAACAGTAGGAATTTCACATATATTACTCTTTAATGTTGTTAATTGATTATGTGAAAGTAAATCTGGAAAGATGCAGTGGATGTATTTTTCCCTATTCCTTCCCACTAAGTACAACCAAAAATCCTGGACATTATGTACAAAACAAATATAAGAAGACTCTGGAAGATGTAGAGAAGAAGGCAGAGCAGGTAGGGAGCTCAGGACCCAAAAAATGACATGCTGGTGAGTTCCCTACATTTTCTTTTTTTGCCTCATATTTCCCAGAAGAGGAGCTGACAAAGCCAACAACCTACAATCATGAATGTGTACAGACAAAAAAGGTCTCAGCAAAAGACTACTTTTTCAGTCAAAGGACCATAAAGGAGGCAGCTTATTTAGCAAGACAAAAACTTTTAGAAAATAACTTTCAACTGCAGCCAAGCACCGTGGAAAAAACTGTGGCCCCACTCTGATTCACACCAGTGAAGGCCCAGACCTCCACCCTTACCAGGCTGTAACTATGTGTCCTAACTTCTCTCCTGGCATGGTGACAGAGAAGGTGGAGTAGAGAGTTGGGACTTTCTTTCCCACTGGATGTTAATGAGCTCCCATCCCCTGCTGTATCAGTGAAGACCACATAGGAAATAGTAATGAGGCACTCTAACCCTCCTAGCCAGGAGGGTACCAGTACAGGTATAGTGGAGAGCTGGAAGTCCCACTTTTGCCCATCAGTAATAAGAAAACCCCTCCTCTGGTGCCAGTGGAGGCCAACTTGGGATCCTGGACTTCCACCTCGCCTAGCAATAATGAGAAGCTGCCTCACTTCCCTCCCCCTGCCTGTGTCAGTGGAATCCACCTAAAAGAAAAGGTTTAAATGAGATCCGGTGTTTCATAATACCCAAAATGTCTGGGTTTCAAGTGAAAATCATTCATCATACTAAGAATCAAGAGGATCTGACTGAATGAAAGGATAATCAGTAGATGCCAACATGATGACAAAAGTGGTCAGAATTATCTGACAAAAAGATTTTAAAACAACCATCATGAAAAGCCTCAGTGAGTAATTATGAGCATGCTTGAAACAAGTGAAAAATAGAGGTTCAGCACAGAAATAGAGATACAGAAATAGAATATAAAGAAGAACCGAATGGAAAATTTAAAACCAAAATAAGAAAGACTCAATGGATGTACTCAACAGAAGAGAAAGGACAAAGGAAAGAATCAATGACCTTGGAGATAGAACAATAAAAATCACCCATTTGAACAACAAAAGGAAATAAGCTAGGGGTGGAAGGGGAAGAACAGAGCCTCAGGGACCTGTGGTTAATAACAGAATATCTAACATTGATATGATTGGAGTTCCAGAAGAAGAGGAGAAAGAAAATGGGGCTGGAAAAGTACTCAAAGATACAGTGGCTAACCCCCCCCCCCCAAATTTGGCAGAAGACAAACCTGCAGATTAAGAAGTGAAACAAACCTTAAGCAGAATATAAACTCAAAGAAATCCAGATCACGGAATCATAGTCATACTTCTGGAAACTAAAGACTGAAAAATAAAAATCTTGAAATCTCCTTACCAGTAGGGGTGAAACAATTTAAAACAACAGTGGATTTCTCATCAGAAACCATAGAGGCAGAAGGGACTGTCCCATTTTCCAAGTGCTGAATGGAAAGAATTGTCAACTCGGAATCCTATATCCAGTGAAAATATCTTTCATGAATGAAGGAGAATTCAACACATTTTCAGATAAAAGAAAACAAGGAGAATTTGTGGCCAGCAGACCTACCCTAAAAAAAAAAAATGACTGAGAGAAGTTCTCTAAACAGATGGGAAATTATGAAAAAGAATCTTGGAATGTAAGATCATGGTAAGCAAAATTATAGGTTAATATAGTAGACTTTCCTTCTCATCCTACATCTTCCAAATTATGCTTGACAGTTGAAGCAAAAATTGTAATACGGTTTGATGTGGTGGATCTAAGTGTATGTAGGGAACATATTTGAAACAATTTATGATATAAGCAAGGAAAAGTAGAGGGACATAAAAGAAGGTGAGATTTCCACACTTCACTTGAATTGATAAATGATGACACCAGTACACTGTAGTATGTTTATGTTTATATAATACTTAGAGTAACTACTAAAAAAGCTATACAGAGAGACTCAGACACACTAGATAAAATAGAATTCTAAAAAGCCTTTCAGTAACCCACAAGAAGGCAGGAAAAAGGAAATAAGCAAAAACATAGAACAAATGGAAAATAAAAAATAAAATTTTGGATTTAAACCTTAGCATATCAATAATTAACTGTAAATGGTCTACATATACCAGTTAAAAGACAGGTATTGGCACTGTTGATTATAAAGTGAGACTCAACCATATACTGTCTGTAAGAAACTCACTTCAGATACAAGAATATTGACAAGTTGCTTATATAGGCAAGTAACAGCATGGAAATGGTATGTGTTACCCTGATACCAAAACCAGATGAAGATAGTACAAAAAGGAAAACTACAGGCATACCTCATTCTATTGCATTTCACAGATACTTCACTTCTTTACAAATCGAAGGTTTGTGGCAACCCTGCATTAAGCAAGTCTGTTGGTGCCTTTTTTCCAACAGCATTTGTTCACTTTGTGTCTCCATGTCACATTTTGGTAATTCTTGTAATATTTCAGACCCACCACCAGCAAAAAGATTATGACTTACTAAAGGATCATCTAGATGATGGTTAACATTTTTTAGCAATAAAGTATTTTTTTATTAAAGTGTGTACATTGGTTTTTTAGACAAAATGCTATTGCACATCTGATAGATTGTGGTATAGTGTAAACATAACTTTTTAAATTGAATTATAGTTGCATACAGTATTATTTCAGTTGCAGAGGTACTATGTAGTAATTTGACATTTGTGTGCATTATGAAATGATCACCACATAAGTCTAGTAACCATTTGTCCCTGTACAAATTTATTAAAATATTGACTATATTCCTTACACTGTGAATTACATCCTATGTCTTATTTATTTCATAACTGGAAGTTTGTACCTCTTAATC